CGAACAACATTATTATAACGGCGATGCCAGAAACGGCAGCAAGGAGTTATCGCAAAATTGTCCGCTTGACCTTCCTGCCATTTCCGCCTGCATACCAATCTTCAAGGACCAAGGTGCATGGCGCGAAGCGCCACTGCAGTCTTACATATATGTATATACACACAGATATATTAACTATTTGTTTTCTCCCCCCAGAATCCGCCTGTGGGGGGACAGGCTGACAGGCCCGACTTAATGATCTGATCGGGGTTGGACGGAGCCCCCACCCTGACAAGTTGATTAGTGAGCTGTCCGTTTTCGGTTCTCGAGGGGGCGCCGCGGCCGTCGTTTTCCAGGCTTGCGCCCGCCAGGTTTGGGCCCGAGGTTGTTTTCACGAAACCACGTTTTGCTATACTAGAAGGGGGTTCTGTCCATCCCCAGTATGAAACGATCAGCGCTGTAGGAAGATCGTTAAATGTTGGAAGATCCTACGCGGTAGCAGAGGCCAACGCCAAAGTCGATGCGACATGGGATGTCCGTGCCTTGGATCTCCAGACAGCCGGATCTGATTTGGAGCAGGTTCAGGAACCTGTCATGGATTCCACGTGGATCCCATAGCAAGGTCTCCGAATATGCAGCATGGCCTCCTGCCCCAAGCCTGCCTTGCCTCCTGCTTCGGTCCGCTCCGGCTCAGGCCCCTGTCGCCGCCTCCTTCCCCCCTCGGCGTCGGCGACTCTTTCGAGGCTGTCTCTCAGCCGGTGTTCTGTGGAACAGCGGAGCTCCAGGAAACGAAAGAATGCCACAGACGCGTGACTCTTCTTGGGTTTCTTGCACTTCTTGGATCGGCGCTGGATCGGCGCAGACCCGCCCACGTGGATCTCTTGGATCGGCGCTGCGGCGCCTCCAGCGCCCCTGGTGCACTCCGCGCGCCCGGGCGGGAGGCCCAGCGCGCCTCGCACGTCCGGCAAGACGGTCGAGGCGGGAGTGGAGCCAGCTGCTTCAGGAAAGCCCCTCCTCCTCCTCCTCCTCCTCCTCCTCCTCCTCCTCCTTTTCCCTTCTCCTCCTCCTCCTCCTCCTCCTCCTCCTCCTTCCTCCCTCCCTACCACCTCACTGCTCCACCTGCTCCTTCCTTGTCCTTCCCCCTCCTCCTCCCCTCCTCCCCTCCTCCTCCTCCTCCTCCTCCTCCTCCTCCTCCTCCTCCTCCTCCTCCTCCTCCTCCCCCAGGACGAGCATCGAAGGCCTGCCTCTCCCCCTGCAGGGCCCACCTCGATCAGATCGGCCCGATCCGATGTCGATTCCAGCCGGCCCGATCCGATCCGAGTCCGAGGTTCCGGCGATGCGATGCTCAAGCAGTGGCGAAGCGTCCTGGCTCGCCCATAGCCCTACCGAACAATGTTCTAAGGAGCCTTTATGGTTTCCACGAAATGTTCTTAGAACATTTCTGGCTGGGACTGTCTTGTTTTAACGCATTGGGAATATGTTCGAAGCAAGTTGTTTTCGTTCGTAGAACATTTTTGGGTTCTAAGAACACTTCGTGGTAGGACTACAGGAATGCCGGGAGGGTCGGCCCCTGCTCAAGATGCGTGCATGCCGCTGTTGCGCCTCCTGGCGCAGCCGAGCCGGTGCGGCTACGATCCCGCGGCGATCAGCACACTCCGATGCAGATACAGTCGGGGCCCTGAAGAAGGAATCCTTTTCGTTGGGGAGGGGCTCCGCGTTCCTTAAGCGTTTCGCGGCTTGCCTCAGGCTTTCCTTCTGTTTCCGACAGGAAATCGAAGCTTCACTTATGGAGAAAAGGGGCCTCGTTCCTTATCTTGGGCTCCTTAGGTCAAGGCCCCGACTGTACGGCGTGCCGATGCGGTGCCGGCGGATCCCGCCCGGGCCCCCCGGCAGGACAGCCTGGACGCACCCACCACCATCGCCACGTGGCGGCGGAGGGATCGGCCAGGCGGTCCCCGACGCTCGGCGCGGCCGTCCGCGGCCCGCCGGGCTCCGTTGTCGTCGTGCTGCTCCGCGGCCTCGCCCTCGTCGTTTCGAGGATGCAGCTCTTGGGAGGTTGCAGTCGGCATCGGCGCGGATCCCTAGGAGCGAATCCCGCTTCCTCCGGAGCTGAAGGCGGCTCCGGGCCAGTGCAATAGGGCTCGAACTCCTTTTCACCATTCTTACGAAGACCTCCCAAGAGTTGCCTCCTCTCTCTTGGGGGTGAAAGAGATGATTTAGGAGGATGAGGAGGAGGAGATTGAGGAGGAGGAGGAGGAGGAGGAGGAGGAGGAGGAGGAGGAGGAGGAGGAGGAGGAGGAGGAGGAGGAGGAGGAGGAGGAGGAGAGGAGGAGGAGGAGGAGGAGGAGGAGGAGGAGGAGATGGAGGAGGACGACGACGACCAGCTTGAAGAGTCTGACTCTGCCTCGCTCTACCTTCTCGGGGAGCGATGGCAGGCTGCCGCGCGCTCGCCGAGGGGGCCGGGCAGGAGAGGCGGGAGGAGGGCCGGCAGCTGGAGCGGGGGGGGGAGGAGGCGGAGGGGGGAGCGGGGGAGGGGGTAACGAGGCTAAAACGACGCGAAGATCGGGACAAAATCGGATCGGGATAACTCGAAATCTCTGAGAATCGGCGGGTTTGGAGGATGTATTGGGCGCCGCGGCCGCTCCAGAGCGTTCCGGAACGCTCTGAGAGCGCTCCGGGACGCTCTGGAGCGATTTATCCCGATCCTGGCCCTGTTTTACGGAGGAGGCGGAGGGGGGAGCGGGGGAGGGGGTGACGAGGCAGCACGGGGAAGAGGCGGGAGCGGTGACGAGGAGGATGGTGACGGGAGGAGGGAGAGGAGAAGGGGGGCGCAGACGAGCTTTGTGAGGAGACGGACAGGGGGGATCGGGAGGGGGAGCAGGGGTATAGGATGATAAGCGCTTCCGGCTTTCTCATCTGGGTCCAGGCAATTGTTGTACGCGATTCTTAGATCCTGGGGGGCGGATGGCGAGGGAGGGAGGGGGGTGGGATTGAGGAGAAGGATACGGGGGAGGGAGCGGAGGGGAGGAAGGCCGTTTCAGGTTCGCACGCTTTATATCTTACATCCTAACCCTTACCCTTCCTACCCATCCCTTCTCATTCCGCTGAACTCTGCTCTACCCGCAGGCCGGAGTATCTTAGATGACCTTGATCCCTGAAATGATCCCATCGTGTGATGCTCAAGTAGGGCAGGGTGCCTTGTACGTTCAGAGGAGGAGGAGGAGGAGGAGGAGGAGGAGGAGGAGGAGGAGGGCTTCTGAGAAGGAGGATGAAAGGGACTAAGATGAGTTCCTGGGGACCTTAGCCTTCCAGACCTCGAGAGGCGGCGCATGTGGGTACACATATACATATATATATATATATATATATATATATATATATATATATATATACAGGTGTATTTATGCATATATATACATTTATGTATATATACACATATATATATATATATGTTGAGCCAGTGGGGCCCAACTATATCCAGGTCCCTATGCACACACCCCTGGGGTCCTGGGGGATAGGTTCCCCAGGCGGTGGAAATTTACCAGAAGCTGGACAGACATGGCGCGGCGCGGCCAGTCTGGGCGAGCGCTGGAACGAGACGTGGCCGCGCGCCTCTCCAGCGCCCAGCCCTCGTGTATAGCCAGGCACGGTTATGCTCCATGCGCGAGTCCAGCCGTGTGTAGTTCCAGCTCCCCAGTTCCAATCCCAGCTTCGAGCTCGGTGTGCAGACCGCGAGGGCATGAGTACGGATGCGTTCGCCGCTCGTCTCGTATGGCCAACCATGGTGATCCTCGACACGTGAGTCCAGCCGTGTGCGGTTCCAGTCCCCTGGGGCCAATCCCAGCCTCGAGCTCGGTATCCAGACCGCGAGGGCACGAGTATGCACCTCCTACTCCTTCTCCTCCACCTGCTCCTCCTCCTCCTTCTCCTCCTCCTCCTCATCCTGCTCCTCCTCCTCTGGCGTGCGCGGGCCGCCACGCCAAACATGTGTTTGCCGCTCTTGGCACGAGCTTCGGGGCGCTACCCGACGAGCCCCGCTGCCCCCGCTCCTGCCGAGGTGGGTCGCTGGACCCGCTCGACCCTGCCGCGCACGAGGAGCTGAACTTGCTGCTTAAGGCTCGCCGGGGGGGGCGGCTCGCCGAGAGGGTGCCCGAGGGGACACACTTGTACCGATGGGCACTGTGTTTTTTTGACCGCGGCGGCGATGGCTGCTTCCTGTTAGAGCTGGCAGCATGTCCTGGAGCTCTCTTGGATGAGGCCTCTCGCACAGACGCGGTCCAGCGATAGCCGCCTGTACATGTGTTTTCCCCTCGGTCTTGGTTAGGGGCGGCCCGCAGGCCGCTGGCATGTACCATATGTTTGTCTGCCTGTCTGTCTGTCTGTCTGTCTGTCTGTCTGTCTGTCTGTCTGTCTGTATGTATGTATGTATGTAGGTAGGTAGGTAGGTATGCATGCATGCATGCATGCATGCATGCATGTGTGCATGTATGCATGTAATGCATGTATGTCTGTATACATAGATGTATGTATGTACGTATGTCTGTATGCACATATGATTGTATGTATGTATACATGTATGTATGTATGTATGCATGCATGCATGCATGCCTGTATGTATGTATGTATGTAAGTATGTGTGGATGCATGTATGTATGTATGCATGTAGGTAGGCAGGTAGGTAGGTAGGTAGGCAGGCAGGCAGGTCGGTAGGTCGGTAGGTATGTGCGTATGTGTGTATGTGTGTATGTGTGTATGTATGTATATATGTATGCAGGTAGGTATGGATGCATGTATGCATACATACACATGCGTACACATGTATGTGTGTTTGGTTGTGCGTTGGGTGGACTCGTGTTATACATGCAGATGTGTAGACATACTACAAAGACCCCTCCGGGCTCCGCCAACTCTGCGACCATTGTTGGCAAATCCCCAGTGCCACCCTCTCGGGCGTCCAAGAGAGCCCTGGGAGAGCCTGAAGATGGCACAGGACGTCCCCCAGACAGCCCAAGAGTGCTCCAAGGATGTCTTTGCTGGCCCCTCGACGGCTATGCGAGCCCCCCTTCAAGATCGCCCCAAGATGCTTCCAAGAGTCCCCCAAGAGCTGCGGGGAAGCCCTCGAGATGCCAGAATCATTGAACAGTCCGTGGGAAATCAATGGCTTTGTGCTTTCTCGCCCTCCCGCCTCCGACACGCTTCCGAGGCTTGCGCAAGCCCCCCTAAGAGAGCTCCAGTAGGCCCCCAGGAGGCGTCACGAGCGGCGCGACGTGGCCACAAGAGGCCAAACAACGGCCCCCCACGAAGAGGCACCACTCAGGCCCCAGAGACGCTCCGAGCAGGCCCCCGCGACCTCCCGGGAGCCGCCCCGGAGGCATCCAGGGATGAATGGGGGCCCCGAGAGGCCCTCGAGAGCTGCCAAGAGGCCCCCAGGAGAGCTCCAAGATACCCCGTCAGCGCCACTCGGAACGCGTCTTGGGAGTATCTTGGAGCTCTCTTGGGTTGCATGCGCAAGCCTCGGAAGCGTCTCCAAGGCGGACATGCGAGAACACAGAAACATCGTATTCTCGGTAGTGCCTCTGGAAAGCTTCCCCGCAGCTCCTGGGGGCTCTGGGAGGCTCTTGGGGCGATCTTGGGTGCCCTTGGGGGCATCCAGAGGCAACTTGAAAATTATCCTGGCGTAGAACCCAACAATATGCAGTTTTGAGTATCGTGGTTGCGGGTATCGCTTTCGGGGGATCTCCTCATTGGGCAAGGAAGCATGCGATGGGTGTGCCGATTTGGGGCGGGGCCTCCGTGTGGGCGTTGCCGCAGGGGCTTTAGGCGGACCCCGCGAGTGGGCCGCGAAACGTGTGATGGGTACGCCGCAATGGTGCGGGACCGCCACTGGGGCCTTCGGTGCAGCTCCCTATGGGGCCACGAAACGCTCCACTGAATGGGGGAGACGTATGTGAACACCGCCGCTGGGGCCTTCGGTGGAGCTCGCTATGGCGCCACGAAGCGCTGTACTGAGTTTGGAAGCCGCATGTGGACACCGCCACTGAGGCCTTCGGTGGAGCTCCCTATGGGGCCAGGAAAAGCACCGCCATTGATGCCTTCGGTGGAACTCGTTATGGCACCACGAAGCGCTGTACTGAGTTTTGGGAACCGCATGCGGACACCGCCACTGAGGTTGTCGGTGGAGCTCGCTATGGCGCCACGAAGCGCTGTACTGGGTGGGGGAAACTCATGCGAACATCGCCACTGAGGCTTGCGGTGGAGCTCGGGCGCCACGAAGCGCTGTATTGAGTGGGGGAGCCGCATGCGAACATCGCCACGGAGGCCTTCCGTGGAGCTCCCTACGGGGCCACGAAGTGCTGTACTGGGTGTGGGAGCCGCATGCGAACACTGCCATTGAGGCCTTCGGTGGAGCTCCTTATGGGGCCACGAAGCGTTGTACTGGGTGAGGGAACTGCATGCGGACGCCGCCGCTGAGGCCTTCGGAGGAGCATCCTATGGGGCCACGAAACGTTGTATTGGATGGGTTAACCGCATGCGGACTATGGTGTGGCTTCCGATGGAACACCACACGTTTTTTTATTTTGTTTGTAATATATATATATATATATATATATATATACATATATATATATTATTGGATGGGGGAACCGTATGCGAACACCGCCACTGAGGCCTTCGGTGGAGCTCCCTCTGGCGGCACGAAACTTTTTACTGGGAGTGGGAACCGCATGCGGACACCGCCATTGTGGCCTTCGGAGGAGCTCCCTGTGGGGCCACGAAGCGAAATGCTGGGCGCGGGGACCGCATGCGAACGCCGCCACTGAGGTCTTCGGTGGAGCCCAGTATGGGGCCACGAAGCGCTATACCCAGTGGGGGGAACCGCGTACGGATACCGCCAGTGTGGCTTTCTGTGGAGCTCCCTGTGGGGCCACGAAACGCAATGCTGGGTGGGGGGACCGCATGCCGCCACAGCCGCTGAGGCCTTCGGTGGAGCTTGCTATGGCGCCACGAAGCGCTGTACTGGGTGGGGGAAACGCATGCGGACACCGCCACTGAGGCCTTCGGTGGAGCTCTCTATGGAGCTACGACGCGCTGTACTGTGTGGCGGGAAAACGCATGCGGGCGGTGCCACGGAGGACTCTGGTGGAGCTCCCTGTAAGGCCACGAAGCGCTGTATGGGGTGGGGGACCGCATGCGGACACCGCCAACGAGGCCTTCGGTGGAGCTCCCTATGTGGCCACGAAAAACGTTGTACTGGGTGGGGGAGCCGCATGCGGACACCGCCACTGCGGTCTTCGGTGGAGCTCCCTATGGCGGCACGAAGCGCTGTACTGGGTGGCATGCGGGCGGTGCCGCTGAGGACTTCGGTGGAGCTCCCTATGTGGCCACGAAGCGTTGTACTGGGTGGGGGGACCGTATGCGAATGCCGCCACTGAGGCTTTCGGTGGAGCTCCCTATGGGATCACGAATCGCTATACACGGTGGGGGGAACCGCAGAAGGATACCGCCATTGTGGCCTTCGGTGGAGCTCTTTGTGAGGCCACGAAGCGCAATGCTGGGTGGGGGGACAGCATGCGGACACCGCCACTGAGGACTTCGGTGGGGCTCCCAATGGGGCCACGAAGCATTATACTGGGTGGGGGAACCGCATGCGGATACCACCACTGGGGTTTGCGGTGGCGCCCCATATGAGGCCACAGAGCGCTGTATTGAGTTGGGGAACCGCATGCGGACACCGCCACTGAGGCCTTCGGTGGAGCTCCCTCTGGGGCCACGCAGCGCTGCACTGAGTGGGGGGGGGCTGTTTTTTTTGTTGGCTCGAGGCACATTTTAGGATTTGCTCTTCTACCCCACCACTTCGTATCTCGCCGCACCCCGCCAGCCGGCCATGGCGCCAGCCGTGTCGACGAGGCACGCCGCCCTGCTGGCCGGGGGCGCGGTGCTCGGGCTCTATCAGGCCGGCGGTGCCTTCGCCCCGTCCCTCCAGCGCACTCCGACGAGGTCGCCCGCGGAGGGCCGCGGCCTGCGCGGCGCGGCGGGCGCCGCCCCGGAGGGCCCCGCGCCCTCGGGCGCCGCCGCCGCCCTTGCTTGCGGCGCGGCCTCGGTGACCCTGGCGGCCTCCGCCGCCCGCCGCTCCAAGCAGGGCGCTCAGGATCTCAACCTCCTGCTCCTCCTCCTCCTCCTCCTCCTCCTCCTCCTCCTGCTCCTCCTCCTCCTCCTCCGCCTCCTCCTCCTCCTCCTCCTCCGCCTCCGCCTCCGCCTCCTGCTCCTCCGCCTCCTCCGCCTCCTCCGCCTCCTCCTCCTCCTCCTCCTCCGCCTCCTCCTCCGCCGCTCCAAGCAGGTCGCCCCCGCCGCGCGCCGCGCCCTCGAGGGCGAGCTCGGGGTCCAGGCGAGCACGATGAAGGCGTGGGCGGTCACCAAGTACGGCGATGCCTCGGCTCTCTTGACAGCAATGGACGTGGAGAAGCCGCAGCCGGGGGCCGGGGAGGTCCTGGTCAAGAACATGGCCATCGCAACCAACCCCATCGACTACAAGGTGGTGGCCGGCGCCCTGGCACCAGGCGAGGAGGCTCCTCCCCAGCGCCTCATCGTCGGCTGGGACAGTGCGGGGGTGGTCGAGGCTGTCGGGGAGGGTGTGAAAGGCTTCCAGGCCGGTGACAAGGTCTGGTTCGCAGGTGACATCACCAAGGACGGCTGCTACTCGCAGTACACCAAGATCGACTCGCGGATCATCAGCAAGATGCCCAGTACGCTCTCCTTCGAGGACGCTGCTGCCTTGCCGTTGACCTTCCAGACAGCGTGGGAGGGCATGGTGGAGCTGATGGGCGTCCAGAAGGGCAAGTCGATATTCGTCTTGAATGGCGCCGGCGGGCTCGGGTCGATGGTCATCCAGGTTGCCAAGCACCTTGGGCTCACAGTGATTGCCTCCGCATCGCGCGCGGAGACCATCGAGTTTTGCAAGCAGATGGGCGCGGACCACGTGGTCAACCACCGCAACGAGGACCTCGGCGCTGAGCTCAAGCATGTCGGCTTCGACTGCGTGGACTATATCTACAACGCCCACGAGAACGATCGCCTCGGGGAGCTCTTCAAGCTGCTGGTGTGCGACGGGAGGCTTGTGGTCACCTTCGGCCCTACGCAAGAGCAGATGGCAAAGGTCGACTGGACCACAGCGTGGCTGAAGAGGCAGACGCTGTGCTTCCAGATGATGTTCGCGCGGTCCATGTTCAACACCGAGCCCGCGATGGTGGGTGGCGTGATGGCAACCTTGGCAAAGCTCGTGGACCAGGGCAGCATCAAGACGACTGTCACGAAGAAGTACGGGAACATGGAGGAGATCAATGATGCCACCAAGTTTCAGATGTCTGGCAAAGCCATCGGCAAGATCTGCCTCACCATGACGCACTGAGGCTGTGCTGGTTTGCCCCCATGATTTTTGTCGGGGAGCTTGCAGGGTGCTCGCGGCCACCGGAGCAGGCCGTAGTTAGTATTTGAATCGAGCACCGTGCGCTGGGCGTACGGCCAAGGCAGAGCCAGACCCCGTATCGATGTGGCCAGATCCGACGCACATCCGATTCGATTTGCTTTCCCGAGTTGGTGTTGCTTAATCTGGCCCTTCGCTCTCCTTCTCCTCCTCGTTTTCTTGTTTTACTCTTGCTGCTCCTCCTCATGCCAGTCAGGTCGAGCAGTCTCGAGTCCGCTTTTCCAGTCGAGCATTACTTTGCCGGATATCATCGGCACATTTTTTGAGCGTCGATCAGCTCTACAGCCGAAAAGTGCGCTCAGAACACGGCGTCGCGCGTTCCCATCGATTGTTCACCCCAACCGTTCGCGGACAAAAAAGACTGAGTGGGGGGGGGCCGCCTGCGGACACCGCCACTGCAGAGCCGTCGGTGGAGCTCCTTACGGGGCCACGCAGCGCAGTACTCGGCGCGGGAACCGCATGCGTACACCGCCACTGAGGCCTTCGGTGGGGCTCCCTGTGGAGCTACGAAGCGCTGTGCTGAGCGGGGGAACCGCATGCGTACACAGCCACCAGGGCCTTCGGTGGAGCTCCTTTTTGGGGCCACGAAGCGCTGTACTGGGCGCGGGAGCCGCATGAGTACACCGCCACTGAGGCCTGAGTGTGGGGACCGCATGCATACCGCGCCTTTGGGGCCTTCGGTGGGGCTCCTTTTGGGGGCCACCGTTGTACTGGGTGGAGGAACCGCATGCGTACACCGCCATTGAGGCTTTTCGGTGGAGCCCCTTATGGGGCCACCAAACGCTGTACTGGGGGTGGGCCGCATGCGGACACCGCCACCGAGGCCTTCGGTGGAGCTCCCGGTGGGGCCACGAAACGCTGCACTGGGTGGGAGAACCGCATGACGACACCGCCACTGGGGTCGTCGGTGGAGCTCGCTATGGGGCCAAGAAGCGTTCTACTGGGTGGAGGTGACGCATGCGATCACCGCCACTAAGGCCTTCGGTGGAGCGCCCTCTGGGGCCACGAAGCGCTGGATTTGGCGGGGGAGCCGCATGCGGACACTGCCACCTGAGGCTTTGGGGCCACGAAACGTTGTAAAGGGTTGGGTGGGGGAACCGCGTGCGGACACCGCCATTGAGGCCTTCTGTGGAGCCAACTATGAGGCCACGACGCGCTGTATTGGGTGAGGTAACCACATGCGGACACCGTCACTGAGGCCTTCGGTGGAGCTCCCCATGGGGGGCACGAAGCGCTGCAGTGTGGGGGGGGGAACCGCATGCGAACTGCTACTGAGGCCTTCTGTGGAGCTCGCTATGGGGCCACGACGCAGTGTACTGGTTGGGGGGACCGCATGCGGCCGTCGCCATTGAGGCCTTCGGTGGAGCTCCCTATGGGGCCACGACGCGCTGCACTTGGTGGGGGAGACACATGCGGACACCGCCACTGGGGCCTTCGGCAGAGAAACGATGTAGTGAGTGGGGGAACCGCATGCAAACACCGATGTTGGCTCCTTATGTGGAGCCCCCCTACGGGGCCACTGTACTGGGTGGAGGAACCGCATGCGGTCACCGCCAGTGAGGCCTTCGGTGGAGCTCCCTATGGGGCCACGAGGCTCTGTACTGGGTGGGGGGAACCGCATGCGGACGCCGCCACTGAGGACTTCGGTGAAGCCCCCCTGTGGGGCCACGACACGTTGTACTGAGTGGGGGAGCCGCATGCGGACACCGCCACTGATGCCTTCGGTGGAGCCCCCCATGAGGCCACGAAGCGCTGTACTGGGTGGGGCAACCGTGTGCGGACACTGCACCTGGAGCCTTCGGTGGAGCTCCCTATGGGGCCACGAAGCGCTGTACTGATTGGGGGAACCGCATGTGGACACCGCCATTAAGGCCTTCGGTGGAGCTCCCTACGGGGCCACGAAACGCTCTACTGGGCGGGGGAACCGCATGCGGACGTCGCCACTGAGGCCTTCCGTGGAGCTCACTATTGTGGCCACGGAGCGTGTGGCATGCGGAGGTCAGAGGCACGGCGGAGGAGGAGGAGGAGGAGGAGGAATAAGGAGGGGGAAGAGCACGGAGGCGGAGACGAGACGCGGGGCGCTGCCTCGTCAAAACGAGGACCCAACACTGCATGCTAGCAGCGAAATATGGGATTTCTTTCAAACCACTGTTTTTGCTTCCAGGTGTTTCACCTCCTTCCTTTCCCTCCTGTTCCAGGCTCTGGCGTGCCCCAGGGTGCGTTTTCGTTTCCCCCATCCCTCGCTGTCCGTTTGTTTGTCTCTCGTTCTCTCTTTCTTGTTCGTAGTTTTCCTCCGTTTCCCGTTTCACACCCTTCTCTTTCCTCTCCTCCTCCCTCTTCCTCTTTGCGTCATGTTTCCTCCTCCCTATTCCTCGTCTCTCCTTCACGCCTTCGTCCCCCCGCCTCCCTCATGCGTTTCTGTCTCCCCCCTCCCTCGTCCTCATCTCTCTGTCACGCCTTCCTCCCTCCGTCGCCCTCGCTCAGCATCTTGCCCCACTGAGTGGCAGGGAGCCCAACTTGACAACTTATCCTGGCGAAGGGCCCAACCATATGCAGCTGTGGGTATCGCCGTTGTGGGTATCGCCTCCGGTGGATTCCTTTATGGTGCCACCAGGCGTATAACGAGTGTGCAGAAATGTGGCGGGGACGCATGCGGGCGCAGCCGTTGAGGCCGTTGGTGGCCCTCTTTCTAGGGCCACGAAACGTGTGAGGAGTGTACCGAGATTGAACGGGGTCGTCATGCGAACCATGCCATTCGGGCCTTCGGTGAAGCTCTCCATGTGGACACGAAACAATGCACCGCTTGGAGGAAACGCATGCGAACACCGCCGCTGAGGCCTTCGGTGGAGCTCCCTATGCGGCCACGAAGCGTCGTACTGGATGGGGGAGTCGCATGCGGACACCGTGACGGCAGCTTTCGGTGGAGCTCCCCATGGGGCCACGATGTATTGGGTGGGGGAGAAGCATGCGAGCAACGCCATTGAGGCCTTCGGGGGGGCCCCCTTATGGTGTCACGCAGCGCTGAACTGGGCGGAGGAGCCGCATGCGGACGCCGCCACAGAGGCCTTCGGTGGAGCTCCCTATGGGGCCACGTGGCGTGTGGGATGCGGAGGGCAGAGGCACGGAAAAGGAGGAGGAAGAGGAGGCGGAGGAGGAGGAGGATTGAGGGGGGAGAAGACGTAGGAGGAGACGAGACGCGGGGCGCTGTCTCGTCAAAACGAGGACACAACACATGATGGTTGGGAAACAGATGGATTCCCTCATCATTGTTTTTGTTTCAAGTTCGCCCATCTCCTTCCTGTCCCTCCTGTCTAGGCTCTGGCGTGCCCCAGGGTGCGTTTCCGTTTCCCCCATCCTTCGCAGTCCGTTCTCTTTATTTTCGTTCTCTCTCTCTCTCTCTCTTGCTCTTGGTGCTCCTCCGTGTCCCGTTCCACACCCTTCTCTTTCCTCTCCTCCTCCCTCCTCCCCACTGCGTCCTGTTTCCTCCTTCCTCCTCGTCTCTCCTTCACGCCTTCCTCCCTCCGCCTCCCTCATGCGTTTCTGTCTCCCCCCTCCCTCATCCTCATATCTCTTTCACGCCTTCCTCCCTCCGCCGCCCTCATTCAGCATCCTGTCCCACTGAGTGGTAGGGAGCCCAAGTTGAAACATCATCCTGGCGAAGGGTCCAAGCCATATGCAGTTGTGGGTATCGCCGTTGTGGGTATCGCCTTCGGTGGATTCCTTTCTGGGGCCGCGAAGCGTGCAAAGGGTGTGCTGAAAAGGGCGGGGACGCATGCGGGCGCAGTCATTGGCGCTTGCGGTTCTCTCCGCATGGGGCCACGAAGCGTGTGAGGAGTGTGCCGGAACGGAGCCGCCATGCGAACCACGCCACTGGAGCCTTCGGTGGAGCTTCTATGGGGCCACGAGGCGCTGTACCACGTGGGGAAAACGTTTGCGAACTTCTCCACTGAGGCCTTCGGTGGAGCTCCCTATGGGGCAGCCAAGCGCTGTATTGGGTGGGGGTGGAACTTGCGGGCGGTGCCACTGAAGCCCTCGGTGGAGCTCGCTATGGGGCCACGAAGCGTTGTACAGGGTGCGGGAACCGCATAAGGGCACCGCCACTGAGGCCTTCGGTGGAGCTCCTTATGGGGCCACGGAGCGCTCTGCTTTGCGAGGGAAGGCACGGGGGAAACGCATGCGGACATCGTCACTGGGACCTTTGGTGGAGCTCCCTATGGGGCCACGAAGCGCTGTACTGGGTGGGGGAGCCGCATGCGGTCGCCGCCACTGAGGCCTTCGGTGGAGCTCCCTATGGGGCCACGGAGCGTGCGGGATGCGGAGGGCAGAGGCACGGGAGAGGAGGAGAAGGTGGAAGGCATGCGGACCCCCCCTCACTCGGGCCTTCGGTGGAGCTCCCTATGGGGCCACGAAGCGTTGTATTGGGTGGGGGAGACGCACGCGCAAATTGCTACTGGGGCCTTCGGTGGAGCTCCCTGTGGGGCCACGCAACGTTGTACTTGGTGGGGGAACCGCATGCGGACCCCGCCACTGGAGCCTTCGGTGGAGCTCCCTATGGGGCAACGAAGCGCTGCATTGGGTGGGGGAAACTCATGCGGACAATGTCTTTGGGGGGTCCTGCGGTGTAGTTTCCTATGGGGCGACGAAACGTTGCACTGGTTTGGGAAACGCATGCGGGCACTGGGGCCTTCGGTAGAGCTCCCTATGTAGGCTCGAATCGTTGTACTGGGTGGGGAAGAGGCATGCGGACACCGCCACTGGGGCCTTCGGTGGAGCTCGCTATGGGGCCACGAAGCGCTGTGTGTGGAGGTGACGCATGCGAGCACCGCCACTATGGCCTCCAGAGAAACTCCCTATGGGGCCTCGAAGCGCTGTGTTCCGTGGGGGTGACGCATGCAGGCGGTGCCACTGGGGCCTTCGTTGGAGCG